ACCTGAAATCACTGCCTAATGGTGCTGGTAGAAATGCTTGCCTCTTGTGGACAAATGTGATGAGCATTTTTAATGATGCCAGATACAATACTGGACAATGGCAATAAACCTTATTGTCAACCAGTTTTACTCGATTAAGCATGTAAGCCCATTGAAACAATCATCTGGAATGATGCTCTGAGGTTCAGAAAGCCTGACCACAGTTTTTTTCTGGCATATACTAGTATTTAAGAGGATCACCAGCATCACCTCTGAGAGGTGGACGGCCTGAGCACACAGCGGTGGTCAGCCTGCCTGTGGCACAGTTTTCATTATTAGTGTACTGCGTTACTCTTGGCTCCTGAAATTGCTTGTTATCCTAAATGTTGTCCTTTCCTTCCCACCCCCACCCCCTTCAGTCAGGTTGAAATGTGTGTGTTGTATTAGCCAAAGTATCCTGGAAGAAGATGCAAAAGAAAGGACAAGTGCTCTTTAAAGGAAAATCCTTCCCCCTGTCCCCACCTTCCCCGAAGCCATCTAGGGATGGGACTTAAGAAACTAAGACCTCTACATCATAAGCCTTTTCAGAGCTGAAGCAGAAATGTCTCCCTCACTTAACCTTGGCTGTCACAAGCCAGCTTTTTATTTTCTCCACTACAGTCCAGGAAGACAGGAATCATCATATAGCCACACAGCTAGAGACTGTCAACCCAACTTGGTGTATCACCTTTCCAAACACCTTTGCATTAGGAAGAGACAGGCAGCCCCTAATTAGGTCACACTGTGCATAGCTCAATTTATGCCTCACAGGCAGAACTCCCAGGGCCACCTTTATTTCATATGCTTTTCATTGAGTTGCATTTTAGTAAACCTTTAAATTTGTCCCTAAAATAGTATACATTCCAAGGGAATACTGATATCTTCCATCATACAGGACATCAGATCTGTTGTCAGACTACAGTGCTGGCTCCTCACAACCCCTAGTTATTATTCAGTTATTCATCCCTGCCCACTAGTGAGGAGTAATTCATATTTTGGCTTTTCTTCCACCTGAGTTCTTTCTCTTACTTATAATGAGAGATTCCTGGGAATTTCCTGGTGGTCCCATGGTTAAGACTCCACACTTTCACTGCGAAGGACACAGATTCAGATGCTAGTCAGGGAACTAAGATCCACAAGTTGCAAGACATGCCCTCCCCCCCAAAAAAAATAGAGTGACAGATTCATGGGGAGATCCACTGTCCATATAAGGGATGGAGTGAGCCCAGTGTGTATAGGAAAAAGAGCATGGGCTGAAAGTCAGGAGACCTAGATTCTATATACAGCCCTACTACCAACTAGCTTTGTGGCCCTGAGCAAGTTATTCAAATTCTTTGCATTTTATCTTTCCTCTTCCAGTTCTAAGATTCTCTGATTGCAAGTGGATATTTGGGCTCTCATCCCTCCAGAACTCTCCTTTCCTCTGTTCGAGTACTGTTGTGAATAGATAGTTTTATGTAATATAGCTTCTGACATTATAGTCACACAAACTCAATATGTATTTCTTTGTGCTGCTGAATTGTCCAGTCATGGACTATGCCAGAGAGTAAACTGGGGACCTGGCACATCTCAGATTCTGCTTGGACTTTTCAAAGAGCCAGATGGTTAACACATTTTTGAGTGCCAATGAGCCTGCTTCTGCAAATTCCTCCCCATCCCAATCTAGTAGAAATCACCCAGTCTTATGCCCATCTATTGTTCAGGCACCTGGAGCAGATTTGTACCAAAGGAATAGGTAGGCCTTGGAAACCTAGGCCTTCTCCAGGGGCATTTCATGCTCCATAGGGACATCTTTCAGATTAGAATCCCAACCATCCATCAGTTAGCTTCATTAAATAGGCGAGGCCCACATTCCAGTACCAAAAACTGATCTGCATGGAGAAGCTGAGATCTGGGGCAGAAGTAGTGGGGGATTGTTCTTGCTGTAATTTAATTATGACTTTGTGGGTCAGAGATGTGGAAGCAAATCTGAATGAGCCAGCTCTCAGGACCAGCTGTCAAGCACTTGGCTTGTAATCTGTCATCCTATTTGTCCCCAGTACTCTTGGCTGGAGCTCACCAGATAGTTTAATGTTTGTTTCCTTCACTACTCTGATGCACACCCTGGGGGCCTGTCTGAGGATCTCAGACTGTGAAAGGCACCCCAGCCAGGCTCTTTGCTGGCTGGTAACATCCCAGTGGTTTGAATACGTCAGCAGCCCTGGTTTTCTTCCTGTGGTACAGATGGCATCAGCACCCTCTCCATGTGAGATGAAACATATTCTGTAACTCTTCTGTCAAGAGATGGCCTTTGTAATGAGACATTCTCGCCAGTGGAATTCCAGAAGTCCCTGTTCTGCAACCACTTAATACCACTTTACTGAGCTTTTCACCTCAAAAAGCCAAGAGCTCTCACTGACATTGAATATTATTTATTTAATGGTTTATTTTGAGGAGAAGGTCCATCTTCATAGGGAATAGGATGGGCACTGGGACCATCAAGAAGAATTGATGATGGGCACTCTGCCCTGAGAGAATGGAACTGAGAGAAAAAGAGGTGTAGTTATCAGTTAAAACAGGTGTGGTATTGGTGTGAAAAGGACATGGTTAACAAACATTGGCAGAGAAAGGAATGGTTAACATAAAGTGTCCGTATTTATCTAATATAGAACAGGTTTTGAACCACGTCTCAGGACATATTTCTGTGGCCGCATAGGGTAGTTTGGTAAATGACCACAATTTGAGAGCACCCAGGGTCTTCTGATCTTATTCTCTTTTCACTGAGCAATCTTCTGAGGTGAATTGAGTTTCCTTAGTAGATTTTCCTACTGAGAAGTATAATGACCAGCTGTTATCCCTTTAGTTCTCTTAACAATTACTGTTTTCCTTGTAAATTGGCCTTCTGCTTTCTCTTCCTTCTCCAGGTCATTTAGTTAGCAGGAATTGGTTCTTCCTGAGCCAACTGAGAGAATAAAGTGTCTAGACCTACCAGGAGAAGTTTCTAAACCCTAAAACTTCCACAGTCTGATAGAGGCCCCATCTCCCCTGGCATCACTTAACTACATCTCATGAACATCCACACAGTAGATAGTCTGCTTAAGTCTTAATAGTTCCAAGGGATGTTGATTCCTCTTTCATGCTAACTCATGTCCTGGGAGGAAGTGCAATGTGAGCAGTAACCTAAAGCTGCAAGAGGAGGATTCTGGCTCTTCGTGCCCTGTGAGCAGCCTAGTCCCCTCCAGCCAGAGACTGGACACTGAGGCACAGCCCAGCTTGTGGCCTTTATACCTTTCTTCTGTCTGTCAGCACACAAGATCCTCAGCTATTTCTGTGTACCTCCACTCCTGTCTCTCAGCCTCAGATTCTGGAAAACGCCAGTGAACCATTCTTTGCACTACTAAGCCACCTTAGCAGTTATCTTGTGGCATCTCCTCTTTTGGATATGAGAAATTGTATCCAAAGAGATCATATAACTCCATCAGGGTCACACCAGCAAGTTGGTGGAGCCAGGACTAGAGCTCAGGTCTTATGACTGCAAGCACAGTTTTCCTCCTGCGTCACCTTGCTTCTCTGCCTTGTTCTGGCATTTGTATCAGCTGTCCTTGAGAGCACTGTGGAGAATGTATGGCGGCTATAGAGGTGAAATGAGAGATCAAATGCAGAAAAAAAAATGACAAGAAAGAACTGAAATTCTAGGAATGAAATAAGCAGAGAAAACACACTGACTTTAAAAAGTTTGCATTCCTTCTGGAAGCAGCAGTGGACAGAGGAGCCTGGCAGGCTATAATCCCTGGGGTCACAAAGAATCAGACAGGACTTAGTGACTGAGCACACACGAATCCGAGGTTTATAGACACAAACACTTCGTTGCTAGTTGATTCATGAATAGAAATTCATCTTTTTCTCTCCTCTGAGTTTTATCTCACTTAAGAGTGTGTCTATAAAAAAAAAAGAGTGTGTCTATAAGCAATACATAATTTCTCGATGTAGCAAGATCAGGCTTGAGGATAAATGGCAGAGAAGGCAGGGGAAATTGCCTAATTTCCTTCCTGGCTTGTTTTTCGTGAAAACCCAATTTTCACATGATTGCTAGTGTTTAACAAGTAAATGTCAGAGAAAGAGAAAATGGCAGGAGAGAAGAGATTTTCTCATGAATTCTGGAAAAAGAAAAAAAAAAAAAGGCTGTATTCTGATCTAGCGAGATGGGGGCCACTGCTTCTCAAGGGGCACAGTTGGAAAAAACAAAGTGGGTGATGGAAAACCTGTCAGGAGGAGGGGCAGGAGCTCAGCTGCACATTTCCGCCGTTCATCTGGTGCTGCAGCCTCAGTGCAGTCAAACTAGTCGCCTTGTTTCTCACCTCCCCATCCTTTGGCTGCCTCATTATTTCCTTGACTTTTTGTTACTGTGTTCTTTCCAGTGGGAGGGAAATGCCAGGATGGAGACTATAGTAATATCAGATATTCTTTACTTTTTTGCAAGGTACTCTTCTAGTAATAAGTTATTAGGGAAGCTACCACTATATGCTTGAGACTTAGATTTCCATCCTTAAATACTATGTGGATTTTAACTTTTAAAATTTTTATTATGGTAAAATATAACAAAAATTGCCATTTAAACCATTTTTTTAAGTATATCAGTGGCATTCATTACATTCACAATGTTGTACAACCATCACTACTATTCCAAAAATTCTCCATCACCCCAAATGGGAAATTTATACCCATTAACCATTAACTTCCCAGCTGTTGGTAACCTCTCATCTACTTTCCCTATGAATTATTATCATGCATTCTTACTTAATTATATATACTTCCTAAAGTGTGGCAGCAATAGAAAAAAAAATGGAACCTGAAGTGAAGAGGAAAGGTGGTTATGGATTAAAGACTGAATTATCACAAATACATCTGAAAATTTTTTTACTATGATGGAATATTTTTATCCTTCCATTCAGAGAAAGCAAAAGTCCCTCTGCTGGGCTAACTTAACATCTTTCATCTTTCAGTGACCATGCAGCAGGTAGCCAGGACAGTGGCTAAAGTGGAACTCTCAGATCACGTGTGTGATGTGGTGTTTGCACTCTTTGACTGTGATGGTAAGTGGGGCCCTCTGGAGTCTGGCAGGAAAACCGAGCTTTACTGCCCTTGACGTAGACACTGTTTCTGATGGAGCCTTGCAGAAAGCTCCAGTGTACCAGCCTAGACTGTCACAGCAGCTTCCAAACTGGCTCCCATACTCCAGCTGTGCCACTCTCCAGGCCATCACCATCATCATCCAGCCGGAGAAATCCATCCAAAATGAAAATCTAACTGCATCTTCCTCCTTTCTTCCAGTCCTTTTCTGCCCTGGAGATGAAGTGCAAGCCCTTAAGGAGAACACAGGCTCCTTAGGGACCTGTCTCCTGCTGCCTCGTTGGTTTCCTGGCCCTACCCCCCTCTGTGTGTCCAGCAGTACCTCACTCATTGTGGTTCTCCCGCAGCTGGACTGCTTCCTGCCGGTGCCTTTGCTTGTGTTACAACCACCACTGAAGTGCCTCCCCCATCTCACTCCCCTGTATCTGGCCAATTCCTGCCCATCCTTTGGGAGTCAACCTAAGAGTCACCTCCAGGAAGTCTTTACTGATCTGTAATTGTACCCTCCCCATCCTGAATTACACATTCTTCCTCTGTGCCCCATAGCATCTTCTGTTTACCCCATTATGGCATCTGCCATAATACTTGAATAATGTACTTATCTCTCCCACGATCTGATGGTATTTCAAGGGACAAAGTCATTTTTATCTCTTTATTCTCAGCACCTAGCATAGCACAGGACCTGACATATAATATAGTCTCATTCAGTTTCTGTCACACTAGACTGAATTGTCTCTGAGTTGCAGTTGAAAACATCAAGGAAGGCACAGATCAGTTCACTTTTAGCCAAGAGAATTGAATTTGGCCGTGAGAGAGTGCTAGGCTTTGGAACTGATGTGACAGTGGAATTTTCTCATCTTTGTTCCAAGGCCTTCACTTACCTGTTGTCTTTGCCGCTTCTTCCAGGCAATGGAGAGCTGAGCAATAAGGAATTTGTTTCTATCATGAAGCAACGGCTGATGAGGGGCTTGGAGAAGCCCAAAGACATGGGCTTCACCCGCCTCATGCAGGCCATGTGGAAATGTGCACAGGAGACTGCCTGGGACTTCGCTTTGCCCAAACAGTAACCCAGAGCGGCACAAGGAGCCACCTCTCCACACCGGGCACCCTGGCTCCTTGAGCAGAGCCTTGGCACAGCCTCCCTGCTGCAACTTCTGGGAGTAGTGCTCCCTTCCTCCTGGGAATGATCTTAGGATTCAAGTCTCCCCCTTCCCCCCATTCTGCTAGGCTGATTCTGATCCAGTGATTCTCTCTACAAGTTCTCAAAAACATGAGCAAGCCCTAAAAGTGCAGACCCTTTGCATGTTCAACACTACTATGCACTCAAGCACCTATGGATAAAGAATGCCGGCAACTGTCCACATGCCTGCCAACCCTGGGAAACACCCAGTTTTCAAGCCATCTTGCTGTGGATTTATATTAACAAGAACATTCCTTGCTTCTCCTCCTGCTGGTGTTTTTAAGCTACAAACTTGGGAAACCTCTGACGGAAAAAGGAAATCAGTGATAAGTGATAACAAGGATGACCCAGACCTCCCGAATTGGCAGGAAGCCTGGGCCCGAGGACGGATTTGTGTCGGTCCCCAGGGTGGCTCTGAGGCCTGCTCCGAAAGGCCATGTGCACAGTGGGAATGGAGCAAGGTTAGGGATTTAAAGCAGCTGCTCCATGGCTGTCCCCACTCCCTTCTTTTCCTCTCAAGCTCCCTAAGAAGACTGCAGCATGACTGTGCTTATGAAGTGAACAGCAGTTGAGCTCAGGTTCCATGCAAGTGCCATTTCCCCTCCAGGTGTGTGTCTCTGGAGCTGAGAGCTCAGAGCCTGTCTGCCCTCTGTCTTAAACACTTGTAAAATACCACTTTAATTATAACAGTTTGCAATAAACAACCCCCCCTCTCCCCGACAAAGGCTCCTGTGTCCTTTATTTTAGAATCCTCCAGGGCCCTTTCCATTTCACTTCTCCACTGGCTTTGAGATCCTGCTAGCAACAGACCTATTTTCTTTCCACCAGAATCTGATTCTTCCTGTTGAGAGGACACTTCAGGCATAAACAAAAAGTGAGGGTATCTGGATGTTAGTGGTGGCATTTTTCAACATGGTTTGGATAGCATTTCATCCTGGACCACTTTAGGTTGTCCATAATCACTCATGCCCCACGATAAGGAACTAAGATAGGTGTGATGGGGGATATGAGACATCATCTGGTACAGCAGATGTCAGTGTTAAGAACTATAGCAACTGGGAATTCCCTGGTGGTCCAAGGGTTAGGACTCCACATCCCCACGCTGAGGGCCCAGTTCAATCCGTGGTCAGGGAACTATTAATAAAATCCCACAAGCCTTGCAGCATGGCCAAAAAAAAAAAAATCCATAGCAACCAGTGTTTTCTATGGATTTAGCTCTGCCGCTAACTCAGCGTGACCTTAAGCAGGCAAACAATTTCCCATCTGTTTTCTCAACTGTAAAATGACAGATAGGGTTGAGCTTAATGGGTTTAGAGGTTTCCTCCATGTCCAGAAACGTCTCCCTCAGCTCTTCTCCGGAGTACCTCCAAACTCCAGAGCCTCCATGTAATGCTCCCTGGAAGGATAGGGTCTCACTGCCAATGTAATAGAACCACAATACCAAAAGCCCAGTGCTTCCCTGGAATCCTAGAAGCTGCTAGGGAGTGTTTATCAGCAAGAGAAGAGTAGAGATGTGGACAGTAACAACCCCAGCGTTTTCTCCAGAGCGATTTAATAACTCTGGTCATAAGATCTTTTCTGGGAGCAGATTAGATTATCTCTCAAAGGAGTTTGCCGGTATCTTCCAGTCTGTGCTTTCTTGGGCTACGTATTCTTGGTACCCAAGTGTAGCCTGTGTCTTGCTCATTGTCCCAGGGCTGAGGATCAGCAAAATGTGAGCTTTTTCTTAAATTTGTCCCATGGTCCCCAGATCACTCTCTTCCCCAGTCCTTTTCTCTCCAGCATGAAAGAAGAGTCCCATTCACAGCCTTTGTGGGGCATTCATTCCCTCACAAGGAGAGACCTGCCAACTGGCCTGCATTCACCGAAGCTGAAAACCAGAGCACAGAAGGACAGGGTAAGGATCTCACCCACAACATCTTGACACCCGGTGTCAAGAGCACAGGTACGTGGAATTCCAGCTGAACTCCCATTAGCTCCTAGGAGAGCCTGAGGAAGCAGAGGAGGTACAGATGCTCAAGAAGACGGGATAGCCACACTTTGGCACAACAGGGCAGATGTGCAGGTGAGAGGTACAAGTTTAGTCACCCAGAAGAGACCAGATGCCCCAAGGAAGGCTTTGACCAAAGACGCCTGTGAGTAGGCTGAGAGGATTTTAACAGGCAGAGTTTGGAAATACAGAAGGCTGATTCGTGGTTCTCCCTTTATTCCCATTGTTTTTCTACCTAGATAGGATAAACTTCCCCTCTGCCATCAAGAGTCACATCAAACTGTCCCTTTGTTGACCCTCTTCCAGACAGGATTAGTAGCCCCCTCCATTACCTCCCAGGGATCACTTGCCCACCTATAAAAACACTGCTGTAATTTGATGTAATTTTTGTGAGATTGTCACCCACCAAGTTCAGACCCGAAGCAGTGACGTGACCAAAGGAACTGTCCACCACCAAAAGCTAGTTTTAAAATATTTCTCAGACAACGTAGAGGTGATACTAGCAGTGCCTCAGTAAATTCCTCCTGAGGTAGACTGGAATCTGGGACCCTTTCCCAGAGTGCTTGCACTTGCAGCTGGACAAGCGTCTCCTTGAGCAACAGAATGCAGGGAAATTACAAGGAATTAAAAATAACAGCATGCCTGCCTCAATCCGTGCAGTTATGAACAATAAGATAAAAAGCTACAGACCAACTGCCACTTAGGTGCCAGGAGCAAAAGCAGAGTACTGCGCATAGTCCCTGCACACAGCGCCTTCAAGGGAATGGGCAGAACACAGAACCCGCCCTCCAGCTCCAGCTATGAATCCGCTCCTACTCTCACCCCATTGAAAGAACCAGCCTGCCCGCCATGGGAGAGAGAGCAAGGGCACCTATTTCTTGTTCTTGCCCTTTTGTGCTAGTGTAAGTCCCAATAAAGCCTCGCCCGAATTCCTTATCTGGTCTCTTATAAATTTCTGTTAAAGAATCTAGGGACCCAGGTCAGCTGCTGCTGCTGCTAAGTCGCTTCAGTCTTGTCTGACTCCATGCGACCCCATAGATGGCAGCCCACCAGGCTCCTCTGTCCTTAGGATACTGGAGTGGGTTGCCATTTCCTTCTCCAGGTCAGTGACATTCCTAAACACACATACACACAAAAGTTGTCTACTTTTTGTTCTGTGCTCCTTAAAAAAAAAAAAGAATTTCCCTGGTGGTAGAGTGGGTAAGAATCCACATGCCAGTGCAGGAGATATGGGTTCGATCCCTGGTCCAGGAAGATTCCATATGCTGAAGAGCAGCTAAGCCCGAGCACCACAATTACTGAGCCAGTGCTCTAGGGCCCACGAGCCACAACTATTGAGACTGAGCTTCAACTGCTGAAGCCCGTGCCCCTAGAGCCTGTGCTCTGCAATAAGAGAAGCCACTACAGTGAGAAGCCCTTGCACCACGACGAAGAGTAGCCCCCACTTGCAGCTAGAGGTAATCCTTCACAAAGCAACAAAGACCCATCACAGCCCCCCCGAAAAAAAACTTGTTAACTCTGCACTTCTAGCCCTTAGGCTTTGGACAGGAAAAGAATCTCAGAGGGGAACCAGCCAAGCTGCTGGGCTTCCTTGATGGGCTCAGATGGGTTTCCTAGATGATCTAAGAGGAAGCAGGGAGAATGTGGAGAGAGTAAGGAAAGAGCATAAGAACATAGATGATATTCAAAAATCATCATTTTATGAGCATTTAGTGCCCTACCTAGTTTTAGGTCTGATTGGAATGTACACACCGAATCAGACTATGAGGCAAAGGGGAAGTCCAAGCAATGACTGCTACTAGATCAGGAGGAAAGGACAGCAGCATGGGAGCCAGGAGCCAGGTCCACAGGCCAGAGCACCCTCTCCAAGCCCAAGCACAGCCCAAGCCAGGTAATGTGTCCCAATAAGCAGCTCAGAAAAACACCGTGAAACAGAGTAGTTCAGCTTTCAGGCTTTGGGTGCCACCTGCTGTCAAGAAGGCTCAGCGCAAGGGAGTCAGTGAGCTGGAGCAGGGTAGGGGAATTGGCTGGAGTCCAGCCTGGCCCCAGTCCTGCTCTGGAGAATAGGCCTCCCAGGGACCTGGGTGGCATGGGCTGGAGCTGGTTGAACAGCCAGTGGTGGACCATAACCATAAAAAAAGATGTGGTGGATATGATGATACTCCTGAGGGAAGGGAAGCAGCCGTGTATTGTTCTCTGTCGCTCCAGAACGGGAATTTTACCAGCAAGTGAGAGGGTAAGGGCATTGAGCAAAGTCTTCAAGGAGTTTGCAGAAGGAAATTCAAGGTGAGAAGGAAACAAAAGCAGTAAGGTTAAGTGTAAGCTGTGTGAGAGCACTTAGAAAAGCAGAAGGCTATCTAATCCAGATTGGAATTTCAAGACACTTGCCGAGAATTTTTTTTAATTAAAAAAACATGAGACCTGATGGTTGAGTTGTTGTTACTCAGTCGCTCGGTCCTGTCTGACTCTTCAGACCAATGGACTGCAGCACGCCAGGCTTCTCTGTCCCCCAGAGCTTGCTCAAATTCACGTCCGTCAGGTCGGTGATGCCATCCCACCATCTTGTCCTCTGCTGTCCTTTTCTCCTCCTGCCTTCAATATTTTCTAGCATCAGGGTCTTTTCCAATGAAGTGGCTCTTCACATCAAGTGGCCAGAGTATTGGAGCTTCAGCCTCAGTATCAGTCCTTCCAGTGAATACTCAGGGTTAATTTCCCTTCAGATTGACTGGTTTGATCTCCTTGCAGTCCAAGGTACTCTCAGGAGTCTTCAACACCACAGTCCAAAAGCATCAATTATTCGGCACTCAGCCTTCTTTATGATCTGACACTCACATCCATACATGCCTACTGGAAAAACTATAGCTTGACTATACAGACCTTTGTCAGCAAAATGATGT